TGCAGAATAGTCACACTGGTCACACTTGTAGGGTTTTTCTCCTGTATGGGTTCTCATATGTTGGGCTAAGTGGTACTTTTGGGCTGTCCTGTACCCACACCCCCCACACATGTAGGGTTTCTCACCAGCATGTATTTCTAGATGTCTGTCCAAATTAGCTTTCTTTGCTGCAGAATAGTCACACTGGTCACACTTGAAGGGTTTTTCTCCTGTGTGGGTTCTCATATGTTTAGATAATGTAGACTTGTAAGTCGCACTGTACCCACACTCCCCACACATGTAGGGTTTCTTAGCAGCGCTATTCAAGTTGACTTGTTGTGCTGCCGCCTGGTCTTCAACATTGCTTGTTTTGCTGTCACAGTCGACCTGGGAAACCCCGGTGGGAGACCCATCACAGCAGTTCTGACAAACTCCGGTGGGAGACCCGTGTCCTGCCATTGCCATGTTCAGCCTAACTAAAAAAAACGAAGAAATTATACAGATTAAGCGCTATAAGCTGTCAATGATAAAATAGAATTTATAGAAAACAAGCTTTAAAGAATTCTAACTTCGCCAAGCTTTACAATTTTAATCAAATGCATTACAACGTAACCCAACATAATTCTGACGTGTTGTCTTTCTCGCATTTGAATAGGTTTGCTTCTATGTTGTTCCAAAATCATAATTTGAGTTCTTATAATCAATCACTCACACCACCAATCTCTTAAAACATTTTATATCATATTAGTTATTACTCCTACGACTACGAACAATGTGCAAAAATGACCCCATTCGCTAGGCTGGAAAGAGAGTCGGCAGTATAGCCTATAGGTTTGGTCACCAGGCTTCTCTATTTACTGTTTTTACAAATCAGTTCTACGTGTTTCTAGATTTTGTAATGTACGCCTTGTGCGATTCTTTACAATACAATTAACATTTCCATATAATTTCACGTACTCTAAAAAGGCCACTTTGCCTGATGCAAATCGATGTACCTGTAAGTGGCGAGGGTCGAACGTATGTTTGGTTTCGCCCCCTCCCCCTTTAATTCAACGATATTCACATCCTGAAAATGTCTACAAATTATCGTCCTACTGCGGTTCTTCTTCCACAGAAATGGTCTAAAACTATTCCCCTTAACAATAGAATAATTTTCTGTCCGTTTCTAAGCCTTACCTGCTTCCTATGACGGTTTTTCTCTTCACGTAAACCGGAACTCGGCAGCTTTTGCTTTGTACTTCCTTCGTCTCGTGAGGTCAGAGGTGAACAACGATCTGGGTCAAGGGTGAAATTGTGGACCTGATTACCCACATTGTACATTTGACGTCAGTTGGCACGTTACGCTTTCCTCATAATGTCAACGTTCTGCGTTTCAAACCCACCACTTTAACAACGTAACAAGCGTCTGACGTTTGTTTCTGATCTACTTTTAAAAGAGATATTTTAAGGGAATTAATGTCAAGCCAAACTGTTTGGTGTGAATCTTGATTTCTGTGTTTTATGATCAACTCACCACCTCTGACAATATTCCATCCAAGGAAAAAAAAAGCAACACAGAAGGAAAATTTATGTTCAAGGCATTACATTATTTAATTATGTCAGTGCAAAATATCTAGATCTAGATACACCTTCGAAAAAAAACCCAGGAAATTTACTTGTATACAACCTATCGTCTACCTTTTCACTGGCGTAAAATTACTTCCTACTTTGGAAACTGAAGCACATCAGTCATTTTACACTGATACAAACCAATACTATTAGCTTTTGGTTTTATCCTAACAAATCCTAGTAGTTTAAAGAGTTGATAGTCACAAGATATAATTGAGTTTGTAGGACATGTAGGCAAACACTTCGTGACAGGAACTACTAGTAGATACACAGGAAATCTAAGCTCGTACACACACAACACTAACGTCTACACTCCAACTACTGTGTACAAACACAGCACTAATGTCTACCTTTCAGCTTCAACTACTGTGTACAATCACTTACCGATGTTAATTACTGATTATGTATATGTACATTATCCAATCTATACTATAACGCTTACTATTCTCACTCTACAATTCTATATAGCTAAAATAGATTTTCATATCTCATATTACAACAAAGTATATGGGCTACGAAGCGAAACTAAGACTTATTCGTGTAACTAAATTATAGCCATAACTTAATTAGATATTAAAGTGAACAAGTATAGGGCTTTCTCGTGGGAAAACCTTTGCCTACTTGCAAACATCATGAATTCTTACAGAATATTCAGCCCAAATCTTAATGAACATAACTGTCATATATCCTTAAGATTCGTATCAAAATATTAAGTAGAAAAAACTGTAGTTAACAGCAGACTGTGCCTACTAAATGTCACTACGAGATGGTCACAGTTGCAGACTTGGTGCCTCTGTGTGGATTTTTATATGTCGAGATAGGATAGCATTAGAGGCTGCAGAATAGCTACACTGGTCACACTTGTAGGGTTTTTCTACCGTATGGGTTCTCATATGTCGGGATAAGGCAGGCCTTTAAATCTGTCCTGTATCCACACTCCCCACACATGTAGGGTTTCTCACCGGTGTGTTTTGTGAGATGATCGTCTAAATGAGACTTCCGTACTGCAGAAAAGTCACACTGGTCACACTTGTAGGGTTTTTCTCCTGTATGGGTTCTCATGTGTTGGGATAAGTTAGACTTGATAGCTGTCCTGTATCCACACTCCTCACACATGTAGGGTTTCTCACCGGTGTGTTTTGCTAGATGTTGGTCCAAATGATATTTCCGTGCTGCAGAATAGTCACACCGGTCATACTTGTAGGGTTTTTCTTCTGTATGGGTTCTCATATGTCGGGATAAGGTAGACTTTCTAGCTGTCCTGTACCCACACTCCCCACACATGTAGGGTTTCTTACCATCGTTATTCAAGTTGACTTGTTGTGCTGCCGCCTGGCCTTGAACATTGCTTGTTTTGCTGTCACAGTCGACCTGGGAAACCCCGGTGGGAGACCCATCACAGCAGTTCTGACCAACTCCGGTGGGAGACCCGTGTCCCGCCATTGCCATGTTCAGCCTAACGAAAAAATTAAGAAATTATACAGATTAAGCGTTATAAGCTGTCAATGATAAAATAGAATTTATAGAAAACAAGCTTTAAAGAATTCTAACTTCGCCAAGCTTTACAATTTTAATCAAATGCATTACAACGTAACCCAAGATAATTCTGACGTGTTGTCTTTCTCGCATTTGATTAAATTTGCTTCTATGTTGTTCCAATCATAATTTGTGAGATCTTACAATCACTCACACCACCAATCTCTTAAAACATTTTATATCATATTATTTATTACTTCTACGACTACGAACAAATTGGGTAAAATGACCCCATTCGCTAGGCTGGAAAGAGAGTCGGCAGTATAGCCTATAGGTTTGGTCACCAGGCTTCTCTATTTACTGTTTTTACAAATCAGTTCTACGCGTTTTTAGATTTTGTAATGTACGCCTTGTGCGATTCTTAACAATACAATTAACATTTCTATATAATTTCACGTACTCTAAAAAGGCCACTTTGCCTGATGCAAATCGACGTACATGTAAGTGGCGAGGGTCGAACGTATGTTTGATTTCGCCCCCCTCCCTCTTTAATTCCACGATATTCACATCCCGAAAATGCCTACAAATTATCATCCTACTGCGGTTCTTCTTCCACAGAAATAGTCTTAAACTATTCCCCTAAACATTACAATACTTTTCTGCCCGTTTCTAAGCCTTACCTGTTTCCTATGACGGTTTTTCTCTTCACGTAAACCGGAACTCGGACAGCTTTGTCCTTCTGTCGTCTCGTAAGTCAGAGGACAACACCAAATGGGTCAAAGGTAAAGTTGTGTGCCTGATTACCCACATTGTACATTTGACATCACTTGGCACGTTACGTTCTCCTCATAATGTCAACGTTCTGCGTTTCAAACCGACCACCTTATAACATAACAAGCGTCTAACTTTTGTTTCTGATCTAATACGAAAGAGATAGTTTTAGGGAATAAATGTCAAGCCAAACTGTTTGGTCTGAATCTTGACTTCTGTGTTTTATGATCAACTCACCACCTCTGACAATATTCCAAGAAAAACAAGCAACACAGAAGGAATCATTATGTTCAAGGTACATAACGATTTAATTGTGTTAGTGGAAAGTTTCTATAGATACATCTTCTAAAAGTAATGCAAAACAAACAGGAACTTTTACTCGTATCCAAAATAACGCCTACGTTTTCAGAACAGTGAAATACTTCCTTCTATTGGAAACTGAAGCAAGTCGGTCATTTTACACCGATGCAAATCAGCGCAAAGATTTTACTACAAACCAAACGCTAGTTTCCTGAGTATATGTTAGTCAAAAGATATTCTTGTGTCTGTAAGACATACAGACAAACACTTAGACAAAGTGAAGTAGAAAATAGAAGGTCTTTCAATGGCTTCGTTCAAACAAACTCAACATTAACTTCTAACTTTCAACTACAGTTTACAATCACTTACCGATGTTAAATACTGTACATATACATTATCCAATCAATACCAAAAAAATTCGGTGTTCAACCACAAATTAAGTTTACTGTTAAAAAAATACAAATCTGGTTATCAAATGATGGATTCGTTTCCAAAATATATGATTGATAGTTAAAGAAAGTATATTTGTCTGGCTAAGAATTATTCTTGTAACTAAACCACAGTTTTACAGTGATTAAAAATGCAGTGGACAAAAGTGCTTACGACATTTCGTAAAAAAACTTGCATATTTGCAAATATTGGTAGCATATCTTATAATTATATAATAAATCATGTAGTTAGCCTAAATGTTTTCAAAATTATTGTGCTGTATCCTTAAACTTAATATAATCTGAAAATAGAAAAACTATACTTAAGAGAAGATTATGCACATTAAATGTCACTACGAGATGGTCACAGTTGCAGAGTTGGTGCCTCCGTGTGAATACTTTTATGTCGAGTTAGGGAAGACTTAGAGGCTGAAGAATAGCTACACTGGTCACACTTGTAGGGTTTTTCTGATCTATGGGTTCTCATATGTTGGGTTAAGTTAGACTTTTGAGCTGTCCTGTATCCACACTCCCCACACATGTAGGGTTTCTCACCGGTGTGTTTTGTGAGATGGAAGTCTAAATGAGATTTCTTTGCTGCAGAATAGTCACATTGATCACACTTGTAGGGTTTTTCTCCTGTATGAGTTCTCATATGTCGGGATAAGGCAGACTTTTTAGCCGCCCTGTACCCACACTCCCCACACATGTAGGGTTTCTCACCTGTGTGCTTAGTGAGATGATAGTCTAAATGAGGTTTCTGTGCTGCAGAATAGTCACACTGGTCACACTTGTAGGGTTTTTCTCCTGTATGGGTTCTCATATGTTTAGATAAGTCATACATGTGAGTTGTCCTGTATCCACACTCCCCACACATGTAGGGTTTGTCACCGGTGTGTGTTGCTAGATGTCGGTCCAAAGCAGATTTCTGTGCAGCAGAATAGTCACACTGGTCACACTTGTAGGGTTTTTCTCCTGTATGGGTTCTCATATGTCGGGATAAGTCAAACTTGTAAGCTGCCCTGTACCCGCACTCCCCACACATGTAGGGTTTCTCACCAGCGTGTTTAGCTAGATGTCGGTCTAAATTTGATTTCTGTGCAGCAGAATAGTCACACTGGTCACACTTGAAGGGTTTTTCTCCTGTATGGGTTCTCATATGTCGGGATAAGTCAGACTGTTTAGCTGTCCTGTACCCACACTCCCCACACATGTAGGGTTTCTCACAAGCGTTATCCATGTTAACTTGTGCTGCTTCCTGATATTCAGCATCGCTTGTTTTGCTGTCACAGTAGACCTGCGAAACCCCGGTGGGAGACCCATCACAGCAGTTATGACCAACTCCGGTGGGAGACCCGTGTCCTGTCGCTTCCATGTTGAGCCTAATGAAAAAATGAAGAAATTATACACATGGTCAGAATTGTCAATGATAAAATTGGGTTTATAGATAATTAGGTTTAAAGAGTTTTGACTTCAACAATTAATTATGCATAACAACATAACCCACCATAATTCCTCCTCTCCGAAAGGAGGAGGAAAGCCCGCCTCACAACATTCTACAAAATAGTGCATAAAATTACTACTATCCCTACAGATAAACTGCTCAGGCCAGCTCAGGGGCGTAGCCGAGGGAGTCATCAGTATAAATTCCAACCTATACACGCAGCTACAGACATCTATAAATATTCCCGCTTCCCCCGCACAATCCCACAATGGAACGCCTTGCCTGGCCCGGTAATCATGGCTCCCACCGTTGAGTCCTTCCGGGCCAGGCCCGAGGCCCTGCCCGCCTTAGACCAATTAACGCCCCCCCCCCCCCCCCAAGAGCCCCAACAGGGGCTATATGGGGGTATAGCCGGCAAAGATGAAGATGAATTCTAGCGTGTTGCATATTTTGCATTTAAATAAAGTTGCTTTTATGTTGCGGCAAAATAAATGTTAGATCTTGATGATCACTCTCACTCACCCACTCACGCACCCACTCACTCAAGATCACTCTCTCACACTCACTTACTTCACCTAGCTTGTTCACTCAATCACTCGGTTACCCTCTCACTCATTCACACCACAGAGTTTGCTGAAAATATTTCAGTTATCAATTCTACACCTACAAACAATGGGTAAAATGGGAAGCTAGGCTGGAAAGAGAGTCGGCAGTATAGCCTATAGGTTTGGTCACCAGGCTTCTCTATTTACTGTTTTTACAAATCAGTTCTACGCGTTTCTAGATTTTGTAATGTACGCCTTGTGCGATTCTTTACAATACAATTAACATTTCCATATAATTTCACGTACTCTAAAAAGGCCACTTTGCCTGATGCAAATCGACGTACATGTAAGTGGCGAGGGTCGAACGTATGTTTGATTTCGCCCCCCCCCCTCCCCTTTAATTCAACGATATTCACATCCCGAAAATGTACACAAATTATCATCCTACTGCGGTTTTTCTTCCACAGAAATGGTCTAAAACTATTCCAATCAACATCAGAATATTTTTCTGCCCGTTTCTAAGCCTTACCTGCTTCCTATGACGGTTTTTCTCTTCACGTAAACCGGCACTCGGGCAGCTTTGTCCTTCTGTCGTCTCGTGAGGTCAGAGGTGAACTCAATGTGGGTCAAAGGTAAATTTGTTTGCCTGATTACCCAAGTAGTACATTTGATGTCAGTTGGCACGTTACGTGTTTCTTCATAATGTGAACGTTCTGCGTTCAAACCTACCACTTTAAGAACGTAACAAGCGTCTGACATTTGTTTCTGATCTACTTTGAAAGAGATAAAATTAAGGGAATGAATGCCAAGCCAAACTGTTTGGTCTGAATCTTGATTTCTGTGTTTTATGATCAACTCACCACCTCTGACAATATTCCATCCAAGGAAAAAAAGAGCAACACAGAAGGAAACATCATGTTTAAGGTACATAACGATTTAATTGTGTTAGCGGAAAGTTTCTATAGATACATCTTCTAAAAGTAATGCAAAACAAACAGGAACTTGAACGCATATACAACATAACGCCTACGTTTTCACAACTGTGAAGTACTTCCTACTATTGGAAACTGAAGCAAGTCGGTCATTTTACACCGATGCAAATTAGCATAAAGATTTTACAACAAACCAAACGCTAGTTTCCTGAGTATATACTTCGAACCAAAGTGATATATTAATATGTAGATTCCGATATGATTGTAATTTGTATTTCCCTACTATTAATAATTTATATTGTAAACAACTTGATCAGAATTCAGCCCTATATGTCAAAGCTGCGAGATATGTTGTTGATATGTTGATACAAACAAATAAACCAATTATTATTATATGTTAGTCAAAAGATATTATTGTGTCTGTAAGACATACAGGCAAACACTTAGACAAAGTGAAGTATTAACAGAAAATGGAAGCTCCTTCAATGGCTTCATTCAAACAAACTCAACGTTAACTTCTACCTTTCAACTACTGTTTACAATCACTTACCGATGTTAAATACTGTATATTTACATTATCCAAAAAATACCAACAAATTTTGGTGTTCTACCACAAATTAAGTTTACTGTTCAAAAATTACAAATCTGGTTAACAAACGATGGAGTCGTTTCCAAAATATATGATTGATAGTTAAAGAAAGTATATTTGTCTGGCTAAGAATTATTCTTGTAACTGAACCACAGTTTTACAGTGATTAAAAATGCAGTGGACAAAAGTGCCTACGACATTTCGTTAAAAAAAACTTGCATGTTTGCAAATATTAGTAGCATATCTTATAATAAATCATGTAGTTAGCCTAAATGGTTTCAAAATTATTGTGCTGTATCCTTAAACTTAATATAATCTGAAAATAGAAAAACTATACTTAAGAGAAGATTATGCACATTAAATGTCACTACGAGATGGTCACAGTTTCAGAGTTGGTGCCTCCGTGTGAATTCTTTTATGTCGAGTTAGGGCAGTCTTAGTGTCTGTAGAATAGCTACACTGGTCACATTTGTAGGGTTCCTCTCCTATATGGGTTCTCATATGTTTGGATAAGTCAGACTTTTGAGCTGTCCTGTACCCACACTCCCCACACATGTAGGGTTTCTCACCAGTGTGTTTTAGTACATGTCTGTCCAAATGAGCTTTCCGTGTTGCAGAATAGTCACACTGGTCACACTTGTAGGGTTTCTCTCCTGTATGAGTTCTCATGTGCATGGATAAGTGAGACTTTTTTGATGTCCTGTACCCACACTCTCCACACATGTAGGGTTTCTCTCCTGTATGAGTTCTCATGTGCATGGATAAGTGAGACTTTTTTGATGTCCTGTATCCACACTCCCCACAAATATAGGATTTCTCACCAGTGTGTTTTGCTAGATGATTGTCCAAACTGGATTTCTGTGCAGCAGAATAGTCACACTGGTCACACTTGTAGGGTTTTCTCCTGTGTGGGTTCTCATATGTTGCGATAAGGTAGACTTCAGAGTTGCCCTGTACCCACACTCTCCACACATGTAGGGTTTCTCACCGGTGTGTTTTGCTTTATGTTTGTCCAAAGCAAATTTCCGTGCAGCAGAATAGTCACACTGGTCACACTTGTAGGGTTTTTCTCCTGTATGGGTTCTCATATGTTTGGATAAGTCAGACTTGTGAGCTGTCCGGTACCCGCATTCCCCACACATGTAGGGTTTGTCACCGGTGTGTTTTGCGAGATGTTGGTTTAAATGAATTTTCTGTGCTGCAGAATAGTCACACTGGTCACACTTGTAGGGCTTTTCTCCTGTATGGGTTCTCATATGTATGGATAAGGTAGACTTGTAAG